TATTGTTTGAGTCTCTGGAATCTTCTTAATACACTATTGTATCTACGTATAGAAATTTTTCAGTCTTATGCCTCTAATTGATTTCACTTTTCTAATTATGTTGGCTAATCCTCCCCCCACCCCAGTTTATTGTTAAAGGAGGTAGTAGGCATTTTTTCCATGTTCTTTATCGTATTGGAAATACTTCCATTTTATACTACTTTTATACTGTACTTCTGTTTTTATACCAGTTTCTGGTTTTATACTCAGTTAAATTTAATCAATGAACAAAAGTATGAAAGATTAAATAATTATATGTTAAACCTAATGACTAAAAAGAATTTATCTCTGCTACTTCTGGGTTTGGAGGAAGATGGTGGCCACGTGATCTTGAATCTCCCCACTGGCCCTCCCCTCTGTTCCAAGCAATAAAAAACAAGGAGAGCAGGTAAAACCACACTTGACCCTGCACTTCACAATCCTAGGAGACAGAGAATATCATGGCCTTCACATGACATACAAGTTCAGAAATAAACTAAATTCCCATAAAGTTTCTATTGCTGTAAGTCTGTGGATGCCAAGTACGAGTATAGGGGAGACTTAAAAGACTCCATGAGAACACTAGAGTGGTTCAGAGTACATAGACAAACCACAAACAGAAAGAGAAATTACCCCCAGTCTCCTTACCCCCAGAAAGAAAAATTCCAATACAAAATATAAAATACTGAACACAGGTCTGGGCATACTAGACCATATCACCAGCTCTTAAAAGAAAGCAGGACTAGGAATCAAAGCCTCAGAGAAGCATTGCTTCTGGGAGATAATCAGCTATATAGGAAAGATGTGGCTTCCCTTGGAGATAGGCCACTGAAGGGAAAGAAGGAACTATGAGGGAAAAGCTAAGGCTGTAATGGAAACAAAAGAGAAGTTGTACCAATCCCTCCTTCCACCAATGCTATTCATAAATGAAACTGCGCAGAAAAAGGGAACTGTCAGAAGAGGGTGCTGCCAAACTAGGAGCCCTATTCACAAAATGAAGAAGAAGAGAAAAAAAAGATCATATCTATATAAAAATACTGCAAAAAAAAGCTGAAAATGCTGATACAGAATCTCTAATAATCACAAAGTTGGCAAAACTGTAACACAGTGCTCATACTGGATTAAATATTCATACTGGATTAAATATTCCTAAATCAGCATTTTGGAATAATGAAAAAAACTGCTGAATCAAAAATTCTAAAACTAAGAAATGGACAAAAAAGAAAAAAGGAAATGAGTATTCATTGAATGCAGAAAAGAGAAGACATATTCAAAATTGTATTAGAAATAAAAATTAAATTACAAGATGTCCAAGGGACAATAAATTTATATAAAAATTTAATGAGGAGCATTAAAGAAAAGCAGGGGATGAAACTCCAGAGAATGAAAATGAGCTTAAAAAAAAAAAAAAAATTTTAAAAAATAATTGAATTGGAAAACAGGCAGAAGAGGTCCAACATAAGACTACTTGGAGACCCTCAAGAAAATGAGAACAGCTGACTGGAACAAATATCTAAAATTCAAATCCAAGAGGACTTCCAGGAAAGAAAAACCTTGAATCTACAAATTGATAGGGCCTACTAGGTACCAGGGAAAATTGACCCAGAACAGTCCAAGAAGTACCCGAATAAAATTATTATACTTTAAACATTGTGAAACAAAAAGGATAACTTACAAAGACATGTAAGTTGGACTGGCCATGCTTTTCATAAATAAGGTACAAAGCAAGGCAACAGTAGTATCATTTCAGGAATCTTAATGAGTGTAAACCATAAAACCAAAAAAGATTATATCCAACCATTTGTCCTTCAATAATCAGTCAATGAAGGTTAAAGAAAAACGGTTTGAATTGTGCAAGAACTCAGAAAATATTGCGCACTTGTGCTCTTTCTGGTGAATCTGCTATAGGGAGAGCTAGGGAACCAGGAGTGAGTAGGGAAACTGCTAATGGATGGATGGAGATTTTATATATGTAGAGCTAACACCAAAACTAGGATGTAGAGTTGTGGTATTATTAGTCACAGTTTGATTGGAGAAGTATACTAACTAGGGATAATAATGAATGAACTAATAGGGGATTCATTACAGGTAGTTAACCTTATGTCATTGCGGAGCTACATGGCTAACTAGTGTATGTGAGGCTGTTGCTTCTATGTGCTCCTGCAGCCTACCTGAGTTTTCTGACTTTTCACAGTCTTCAAGCAGAGGTTTGCGTACATATGTACCTGTGGTTTGGTTTGGAATTAAAGTTGTAATTATTGGCGAATAATGTCTTCTGATGGCACATCAGGCAGTTGAAAAGGAAAGATGGATATTAAGTAGCAGAGAACAAGGGTAAACCAGAAAGAATGTGCAAACATGAGCTAGAACTTACAAGGATAAACTGAAACCCATATAAGCTTCAGTTTAGATAACGAAGTGGAGCAAAACACTGTTTGGAGAGGCAGAAGGGGGAGATCTACAACCCATATATTCTTATTGCCTTCATTTACCTCACATATCTTTTTTATCCCTTTATTTTTAACCTTTCTGATTCACTTGATGTATCTTTTATATATAGAATTTACCCAGATCTTTTAATAATTAAAAGTTAAGCCCATTGGTATTTATTCATATGACTGTTAATGTACAAGTATTATGTGTATTTGATGATACTTGTTGTGTTTATCCACATGATGCACTTCCTTTCCTGTTTTATTTTCCTAATCTCTTCTGATATTTAGAAATATTTACATTTATCTTTTATTAGTTATCTTTGTACTTACAATTAAAAAAAATAATAATAGCAAAATTTGTTGAGATTTTACTCTACATTAGGTACTATGCTAAATGCCTTACACAGATTATCTCTTTTAATCTGCCTTACCTATGAGGCATTTACTGTTATTTTCCTCATTTCACAAATGAGAAAACGAATGAACAGGTTAAGTAACTTGCCCAAGGTAACAAGTGTGCAGTTCTTCCCACTTCTCCTTTACCCACATTCCTCAGGCAACCATTCCTCACTGAATCTTTTTTCTCAGCTGCTTTCAAGGGGTGTGTGGGTGTGGGTGTGGGTGTGTGTGTGTGTGTGTGTGTGTGTGTGTGTGTGTGTGTAGCCTTTGGTTTTCAACAGTTTATGATTTGTCTAGATATGATTTTAATTTTTTTTATTTGGTGTGTACTGAGATTGAATTCTCTAAATTTATATTTTTAATCAAATTTTGAAAGTTAGGGCATTATTCATTTATTTTTTTCTACCCCAATCTATTCATTCACTTTTTCTGGAACTCCAGTTATACGTACTTAGATACTTTGAAACTGTTACACAGGTCCCTGAGGTTCTGTTTGTTTATTTATTTTTTTCAATCTTTCTTTGTGTTCTTGAGATTGGATCATTTCTGTTGAGCTATCTTCAGGTTCATTAACCTTTTCTTTGTCATGTCCTTTTTGCCAATGAGATCATCCAGTGAACTTATGGTATTTTTCACTTCTAAAATTTTTAGTTATTTTTTATAGTTTTTCATTTATCTGTTTATGTTTCCTATCTTTTTACTTATTTGTGTTTTTCTTTACCTCATGGAGCATAGTTATCTAGTTGTTTGAAAGTCTTTGATAAATTGAACATCTGCTTTATTTTGGCATTGATACCTGTTGATTGTTTTTTTTTTCTGTCTCTCGATAATTGACCATATTCCCTTGTTCTTTTCTTTTACTGTCAGGTGACTTTGGATTGTATCCTGGTCGTTGGAATGTGATATGGGTCCTGTTATAGTCCTCTAGGGAATATTGATAGCTTTATTTTAGTAGGCATTCAGCCCTCTTAGTTTAAATTACAACTTCTGTCTCATCTTCCATCAGCTCTCTCTCCTATAAACCCGGTTATTCAGTTTTCAGCTCTCCAAGCATTTGCTATACTTTTTTGAATCTGTTCCATGCACTGTCGTTTAGAGGTTAAACTAAGACTTCTAAGTGTTCACACTCAGAAATAAGGAGTTTCCTTCACCAGCTCTCTTCCCCTCAGGCTTCTCCCACACTGTCCGGGTTACGTGGTGGTTACATGGTTTCTTGAGCCAGAATTGCAGTGGGGTTTCTATTGGAATTTTAGTGCCTCATGCAGCTCCAAAACTGGGACCCACTCTCAGGGCAAAGCTAGGAAAAGGAAAATAAAATTGGCAGCTCACTCTTCTGTCATTTGCTTTTCTGAGTTTTGACCCTCCTGTACAATCTACCTGGTCACGTTTACTTTTCTCTGTCTTCAAGCATGTTTCAGAATTAATAGTTGCAATAGAAGTACGAGTTGCCTAGAAATTATATCTCTGCTACCTTGGTAGTCAATATTGAATTTTTTCATTGAATCCAGCCTAACAGGTGGTTATTTTTTGTTGTTTGTTTGTTTGTTTGTTTTTGGTATTAACTTCTTGAAATAATGTATTGATTAAAGAAGTATGTTGTTTTCAGCAGTTCTTTCTACAGAAAGATTTGTTTTAAGAACCATACAATAAGAATTTTAAATAAATCAAACACCTTATATTATGAAAACATCTTGTTTATATTTATTTTTTTACTCTATAATGTAAGGTTAGATTAAAAAATAAATAAGAGAGTGATATAACAGTAAATACCTCCCAAAAGCAGCATAGTCAACTCTGAATTTCAAAGGGACTTATTATAGGTGGAAAAAATTTCAGCATTTCATAAGAAAATATGATTTTTATAGTGTTATCTAAATAAAAGAAAAAAAGGGTTTTAATTCTGCAATAGCCATATGAATTTAATCATATTTGTTTTTATATAATAAGATTGTCATGAGATTTAAATTTGTTACTTTTTTATATGTGTGTTAAAATGCAGTTGAAGATCCCAGTGTAATTCTACATTTTTTTTTTTTTTTTTCATCTAAGGACTTGTAATATTTATTAGTGACCTAAAACCTAATGTGTGGATGATGATATTCAAACTTAAATATTTAATAATGTTTACATATAATTTTTTCCTTTCAGATGGTCTTCTCATTATTAGCGTTCACTCGGCTAAGTTTCCAAATGAAAAAGTCCTGGATAACATTAAGAGTGCCGTTCTTCGATACAACATCACCCACCCTGTGGTTAATGATGCAGATGCCGGCCTTTGGCAAGAACTAGAAGTTTCCTGCTGGCCAACTTTAGTCATACTTGGACCTCGAGGAAACATGTTGTTTTCTTTGATTGGCGAGGGACACAAAGACAAATTATTTTTATATACTTCAATTGCTTTAAAGTATTACAAAGACAGGGGACAGATCAGAGATGACAAAATTGGTATAAAACTCTATAAAGATTCTTTGCCACCTTCACCATTGCTATTTCCTGGCAAAGTAACAGTAGACCAAGTTACTAATAGATTGATAATAGCAGACACTGGACATCATAGAATTTTGGTCGTTTGGAAGAATGGACAAATTCAATATAGCATTGGAGGTAAATTTTGCTTCTGGTTATGATATATAATATGTTTTCAGTAAAAAAATAGTTCAGGTAAATATAAAAGTTGAAATGTCTGAATGAAAACTAATTATAGAAAGGTGATATACATGGACTTAACTTCCTAACACAAATTTTTTGTTAATTAATGTATGATGTTTGAATTAACCTCTTCTCACTCCCTCATAAAACAAGCAGAAACACCAAAAAAGCTCCAGGTCAAAAAGAGGAAATAGTTCGGCTTTTAGGTATATTTACACGTTCAATCTTGTTTTGTTAAAAAACTGCCATACTTACTGTGTCTTATGAAAACATAGACATTTTAGATTTCAGACATTTTTAAGTGGAATTATATTTCACTTTCCAAAAAAGTATAGCCTTATCTTTTTAAAGAGCATGTCAGTGCTGCATGAACTTGAGAAGTAGATTATAAAATAGATAAGCAGAATTTGTATATAATTTTCTCTCCTTTCTTCTATAAGAACTTGAACATGTTTCTGGATCTACTTCCAGAATAGAAATAGGTGTAGCAGCATGATACTTATAATGTGTAAGTATCATGAAAGCATAAATCATTTTGTCTTATATCTCCCTGCTCTTAGATCTGAAACTACCTCTTGGCTACATATACATAATCAATAAACTCTATTGAGTACATTCTTATTAATCCTGCTTATGTAAGCTGAACTGACATCTGACAACATGTTAGTCAAAGACAAAAGTAATTCATATCTTTTTGCAGTTAGTCCTGCTTTAGTAATATACGCAGCATTAGTACGTAAAGTAGGAATGTCTGAGTTCCTAATATTAAAAAAGCTAGTTGTATTCCTGTGCCCTGATGTTATTCTTAATATGCCAAGATAGGGTATGTGTTGTGTTTTGTGGTATTTGTTTTGTTTTGGCTACTTGGTATTTTGATTTTTGATAGGCAGTTATGAGAATTGAATTGTTACTCAAAAAATGTCTTTTGTAGCAGCATGAATTTAAGTGATTTAAAGTATTTAATAGATTCTGTAATTTTCAAAATAGTGTAAGTGAATATTCTTTGTTTAAGAAGAAACCAGCAGCAAGCTACACTACCCAAACATATTTCTAGAAATACTGTTACCTTTTGACATAGTTATTCTTTAATTTTTTAAAAAATAATTCTTTGGTCAGATACACTTAAGAAATACTCAGATATACTCAGATACACTCAGGTTTAATGTTATCTAACAGATTTTTATTGGTGATGGTATCATAATATTTCTCAAATTTTTTGCTCAGCTAATTTTCCTCATGAAGGGGTATAGTACACAGTATTTTCCAATCTCATGTGACCAAAGAACCCTCCCTTTTTTTTCAGGGAACTCTTATTGATATTAATGACAATGATAGTATTAATAACAATTATAGTTCCAGCAAACACTGTATGTCTGGCATTATTTGAAGCACTTTACTTGTGTGAACTCATTTTTCCTGCACAATGCTATGAGTTAGGTACTATTATTAGTTCAATTTTACAGAAGAACACAAAGGACTTGCCCAAATCATCAGCTAGGAAGAGATAGACCTGGGATTTAGACCAGGTCTGCTGGGCTCTTGAGTTCATTTTCTCTCTTTTTGAGATGGGGTCTTGCTCTGTTGTCCAGGCTGAAATGCAGTGGCATGATGTTGGCTCACTGCAACCTGTGCCTCCCAGGTTCAGGCAATTCTCCTGCCTCACCTCCCAAGTAGCTGGGATTACAGGTGGCTAATTTTTTATATTTTTTTAGAGACTAGGTTTCACTGTTTTGGCTAGGCTGGTCTCAAACTCCTGACCTCAAGTGATCTACCTGCCTCAGCCTCCCAGAGTGCTGAGATAACAGGTGTGAGCCACTGTGCCAGGCCTTGAATTTGTTTGTTTGCTTGTTTGTTTGTTTGCTTTTGAGACCGAGCTTCACTCTTATTGCCCAAGCTGGAGTGCAATGGCACTGTCTTGGCTCACTGCAACCTCTGCCTCCCAGGTTCAAGCAGTTCTGCCTCAGCCTCCCGAGTAGCTGGGATTATAGGCACACGCCACCATGCCGGCTAATTTTTGTGTTTCTAGTAGAAACGGGGTTTCACCATGTTAGCCAAGCTGGTCTCATATTGCTGACCTCAGGTCATCCGCCTGCCTGAAGCCTCCCTAAGTGCTAGGATTACAGGAGTGAGCCACCATGCCCGGCTGAGTTTGTTTTCTAGCTGCTGTATTATACTACCTCTCTTATGGACACGTAGGACAATGGAGTTCCACAAACAGTTTGAACTGCTGATTTAGAGGCCTTGAATGGCTTGTCTGCTGGCCATGGAAATAACAGTGATATTTTATTGTGTTATACTCCCCACCCTTGAAACTCTACATGAATTGTAAAAACTGAGAAGTGGACTAGAATCACTCTCTCTTATAGTGTGTATGATATATGGTCGGACTTTGTGACAAAGTGAAATAGTAGCTAAGAAGGATTCTTAATCTGGGGTCCTTGGACTCTTAAGAAAGGCTTGAATGGTCCTCAGGATCTAGGATTGTTTGCAACAATTTAGCCATGTGTATTTTTCTAGGGCTAATTTTCCTTGTATTATCCAAGGAGCATAGCTTTCAAAATTGTTAGAAACTGTTCATCTGCTGAACAATTGAAATTATTTTTAAATCTTTGTAGTCTAGGTAATGGATAATTAGAATGCTTTTAAAATTATTTTCTTCTGATTTATGCTACTATGCTTAAGTGCACTAGTAATTATACTCTGAGCCCTATCATTAGCAAATTCACTCTTGAGAAAAATGTTCCATGGGGAACATTTTAGTTTTTAGATGGACATATCATGTTATTTATATTAAAATCCTAGCATTAAATACAAGTTTTATTTTGTTTTACCTTGAGATCACGTCTTAAGTGAGAAATTTCATTTTATTTTAGGACCCAACCCTGGAAGAAAAGATGGAATATTTTCAGAATCAACTTTTAATTCTCCACAGGGTGTAGCCATAATGAATAATACCATATATGTGGCAGACACTGAAAACCACCTTATAAGAAAGGTAATTTTTTATTTTAAATTTAAGTTTTAATACTTGTAACCCGAAAAGTGATATGTATTTGCTACATTAAATATTTGTAGTTAAAGGGTGATGCTTCTGTATGTCAGTGTCCTTGTTCTGCTTTTTTTGGGGTACTTTAGTTTTATTCTCAAGTATCCTCTTTTTATTTGTGTCAGTATGTAGTTGGCACAGAAGAAAACCCCATTCGGTACTTTTTTTAACCCTTTGTTTCAAATCTGTGTGCCTAATCACTCAAAAGCTCCTCATTTTGAAGTATTTTTCTAACTGCTGGCTTATAATGATCCTTTGCCCTTTTTCAGTTAAATTTTCTCAAATAGAAAAAAAAAATCATACCTCTCCTGCTTCTCTTTAACTCTTATGCTTTGGCTGGAAATACTGATTATTAGCCAATTAGTCTTAAAACTTGTTTTATCTTACTATAAAAGTAATATGTGTTCTTATTTTGAAAAAGTCAGCTAATACGTAAAGGTAAAAAAAAGTCCCCTGACCATCAGTTCCAGTTCACTAGAGGTAGTCATCCACTGTTAAAGTGTGTCTTTTTGGAAATTTTCTATTCTTATAAAAATAAATTGATATTAAAAAGACTTTAGAGAATTTTTAAAAAACAAGTATAATGATGCTATGCATACATAATGTTTTGCAGGTTTTTCTAACTATATTTTTTCCATATTAGTCACATGAGTGATATGACTATATCACACTCCATTGTAGATGTACTCAGTTATTTCAGACATTTCCTACTGATGGTTGCTTTGGCTAAACCATTGGTCCTTACATTGCCATATGTTTGTAAAATAGCCAAGTTCATCATACTCATCCTGTCTAAATACATTGTTTCAGATACTTTCTTGCTTTTCTCACTTTTTCTTTCAATATTGACATTTAACCTCATTTATTTGAAAACATAATCACCTATATACATGATAGAAAAAAATACATAGAATATATAATAAATACACTGTAGTGTAAGTCTCCCTGAGGCCTAGAAATATGTTTGTCTATTACTGAATCCTAGCACCTAGAAAAGAACTGGCCTGTGTATGGCAGGTATTCAACAGATGTTTGTTGGATAAATTTGTGAGCAAATAATATCTGTTTCATGAAGCATTTTCAAAAGTGTATTCCTCTTAATATAAAAAAGTGTTACATGAAAAACAGATTTTGTGGGTTAGTACGTTAAAGTGGAAGTATTTTTGAAAGTCTTGGAACTTTCTTCTTCCAGACTTAAATATGCTAATGTATTGTTGAGTGCATTAAGAGGGGAATATTTGTGCAGCATTTCTAGACTTATTTGACCAGAGAGCCCTTTATAGGCAGAGCTTCTCAAAGGACTAATGTTTCTATGGTGTATAGTTTAGGGAAAAGTGGTTTTACTAAGTTCTTAATGATCAATATTTTTTTATCATTATCTTTTTGGTGTTGTATGCTTCTATAATTCATCAGAGGGGCCAGTCATCCAACAGTGTATTGAAGTAGTAAAATAGCCTGTAGCATTCAGGGAATACTTGTCCTTTTTTAATTGTATTTCTCTTGCTTTACAACTTAATGGGTTTTGGAGTATTGACTATGTGCTGCATTTCAAATATTTATGCATTTAAGTAGCATAATAGCAAATTCAGATTACCTGAAATTGTTCTATATGATGACTTAATATGGTGTCTGCAGAAATGGAAAGTAGTGTAAGTCTCTTATTTTTCCTTTCAAAAATATAAGAATATTTATTGTGTTTTATTTTTGTTTAAGACCTCATTTGCAGAGGACTGAGTTGATTATACTCCTACATTCACAGCTCACAAACATTATTGTTCCATGCAGATCCTTGTCATTAAGAATAATTTATTTAATTTATAAATTTTCCTGCTTCCCCATCCCCCTCCTCTCATTTCCCTTACATAAACATACATAAGCAACCATTGTGGCATATTTGATGCATATATTTTTATTTATTTTATTTTATTTTTTTTGAGACGGAGTTTCGCTCTTGTTACCCAGGCTGGAGTGCAATGGCGTGATCTCGGCTCACCACAACCTCCGCCTCCTAGGTTCAGGCAATTCTCCTGCCTCAACCTCCTGAGTAGCTGGGATTACAGGCACGCGCCACCATGCCCAGCTAATGTTTTTTGTATTTTTAGTAGAGATGAGGTTTCACCATGTTGACCAGGATGGTCTCGATCTCTTGACCTCGTGATCCACCCGCCTCGGCCTCCCAAAGTGCTGGGATTACAGGCTTGAGCCACTGCGCCCGGCCATATATTTTTATTTGTATGTGATCTTGTACAACAGTGTTTTGTGTATATTTTTAAATTATTGTGCTGTATTTTACATATCATAAAGTTCACTCATTTCAAGTCTACAATTGATTAGTTTTTAGTAAAGTCAACAGGTTTTGCAACTGTAATCATTAAGTTGTTTTTAAAACATTTCATCCCCCAAGTAAGAACCCACGTGACCAATTACAAATAGTTCCTATCTCCTCCCATCCTTAGGCAACTATTAATTTCCTTTCTGTCTCTATAAATTTGCCTTTTCCAAACATTTTATATAAATAGAATCATATGTTTTCTTGTATGTGGCATCTTTCATTTTGCATACTAAAAAGTTCATGTATGAAATAACATGTCAGTTCATTCCTTTGTATTCTGTTGTGTGAATATATGATATTTTATCTATCAGTTCACCATTGATAGATATTTAGATTGTTTTTTGGCTATTGTGTATATTTTGTTATTTTTGGCTGTTATGAATAATCTTGTTGTGAACATTTATATATAAGTTACATGGGCATACATTTTCATTTGTCACAGTAGTTACCTAGAACTGGTATTGTAGAGTCATGTGTTTTATGTTGAATTTTTTGAGAGCTGCTAAATTATTTTCCATAGCAATTGCACCATCTTACCTGTGGGTTCCAATTTTCTACATGTTCACCATCACTTGTTAGTTTTTATTTTTTAAAAATTCTAGTTTTTATCTTTTAGAAATTCTTCATATCCTACTGGATATGAAGTGGCATCTCATTGTGGTTTTGATATGCCTTTCCCTCATGACTAATGATGTCAAGTATCCTCTCCTGTGCTTATGGGCCATTTTTATGTCTTTGAAAAGTGTCTGTTAAGATTCTTTGCCAAATTTTTAATTGGGTTGTCTTTTCTATAATAAAGCTGTAAGAATCCTTTGTATATTCTTTGTACGGGTCCTTCATCAGATATATGATTTGCAAATGCTTTTTAACATTTTTTGCTTGCTTTCATGCTTATTTAATCGTGTTCTTTAATGCATAGAAGTTTTAAATTTTGATGATGACTAATTGGTCCATTTTTTTCCTTTTGTAGCTTATGTTTTTGTTGTCGTAAGAATCCATTGCCAAATCCAAGGTCACCATAATTTACCCCTGTGTTTTATTCTAAAAGTATTTTAGTTTTGGCTCTTATAATTTGGTCTTTGATCTATTTTGAGTTGATTTTTGTATATGGTGTGAAGTAGGGGTTCAACTTCATTCTTTTACATGTGGATATACAGGTATCCCAGAAACATTTATCCAGGACTATTGTTTCTCCATTGAAGAGCCTTAGCCGCTTTGTTAAAAATTAGTTGGTCATAGATGTATGGACAGGTCTATTCCATTGATCTCTATGTCTGTCCTTATGCCAGTACCTCACTGTTTTGATTGCTGTAGGTTTAATAAGGTTTGAAATTGGGACATAGAAGTCCTCTCACTTTCTTCTTTTTCAAGATTATTTTGGCTATCCTAGGTCCCTTGCAATTTCATAAGAATTTTAGGACCAGCTTGTCCATTTCTGACAAAATCTTTTGATTGTTTCTTATGTAAACATATCGTCTGCAAAAACAAATTCCCTTCTGATTTTTAAACGTCCTGTTTTTCCTGTTTCCTTTTACTGTATTGCTGGCCAGTACCTCTCTTGCTTTTTAGCATTAGTAGTGATGATGGGTTTCTTGTCATGCTCATAATCTTAAATACATGTAAATTTTCTCCGAAAGGTTAATATTTGCTGTAGCTTAGGGGGAGTAAGATATCTATGAAATAAGGAAAATTTCTTTCTATTGATAGCTGTATTAAATATGCAATAAAGCAATTAAGTGAAATATTGAATAGAATCTAAGTGGCAGGTATATGGATGTTTGTTATAAAAATCTTTTAACTTTCCTGTGTGTTTGAAAATTTTCCCAATAAAATGCTGGGGAGAAAGTCTCAGGAGATGAAAGCAGAATATATTTTCCCAGTAGAATATATTAGTTTTTCAGTTTATGAAGTAAAGTCAACATAGTGTCATGGAACTGCCTGGATTTAGGTTCCAGCTTCTTGACTTACTAATTGTGGGATGTTGAAAAAGTTACTTAGTGATCTGTGTTTTTGTTTTCTCTAAAATATTAAAATCATAGTCATGTAATTACTGTGAGCATGGCTGGATGACTAGTTGTCATGCTCACTATTGGATCAGTGCTTGGCACATAAAAAGTTTTAATGTGTGTCAGTCACCAGCTGAGCATAATTGAAATATGTGCATTTAATTTTTAGAAATGTGTTTTGCCACATTGTGTTTTAAAATTTCATTTTCTTTAATTTTTTTTTTGTTGTTTTTTAGTTAAGATGAGGTCAGTGCTACATCTGTTGGAGGCATGCTGGGAGAAGGGGATAAGAGGGGAAAAGTGGGAATGGACAGGTGGGGAAATGAAAGGGACTGATAATGTGCATTTGAGTAAGAAGTTCATTCTATAATTGAATAGCCTTTTTTTTTCTTTAAATAAAGCATTGTGTTGCACGTACACTCTATATGTCTATTGAAAATCTTTACACAGCAGAAGACAAAAGCAAGAGTAGCATTCATTGCATAAAGCCATCCTTTATATTTCTGTAGATTGACCTAGAAGCTGAGAAGGTGAGCACTGTAGCTGGCATTGGAATTCAAGGTACAGATAAAGAAGGTGGAGCAAAAGGAGAAAAACAACCCATTAGTTCCCCTTGGGATGTAGTTTTTGGAACGTCAGGTATGTGAACTTTTAATATTAAATGTAAAAGTAAATTTTATTTAATGAAAGTAAGACTTTGAAATATTCTTGAGATGGTCATTTGGACTAATTCTATTTCTAGTTATTTTATTTTATACTTTTATACCTATGCCTCGGAGTTTGTTAATCATGTAAAAACAAAGCTAGCAGTAATATATATTATATATACTAGGGTATGTATTATATATAATATTACATATTATATTTTATCTACAAGATAGACTATGTGTTACGCTAAAGAATTATATATTAGATGCATCTTCCAATTAATGTAGCTCTGAATATTCTTATATTGAAAAGATTTATAGTTTCAGAACTTCAGATTATTCTTGAACAGTAATCAATAAAAATCAAAATAAATTTATTAATTTATTATTTTTAAATAAGGAACTTACAGTGTCCTTACATACTCTAGTTTGATGAAGAAATCAAAGAGGCAGCTGCTTTTTTAGATTGAAATTTGTATGATAGCTTTTTTTGAACAATTAAACTTTTACCCTACTAAATTGTGTAGACAATGATAGTGAATGAAACTTAACCTTATCTTTCTTATCTTTATTACCTATAATCATTGAGTACTCTTATTAGTATTCTTATTTTTTATTGGCTCTTAGTGATACTGAGATAGTCATTTACATGTCTAAAATTGGATTAATGAGTAAGCAAAGTTAGTAGAACACATTGAAAATGGAATCTGGGACTAAATGGTTGGTCTGTGTGTAACTACCAGCTTAGTTGAAGAGCTTTACATTTGACATAATTTTCTGTTATGATGCCAATTTAATTATGATTCAAAGACCCTACTTTTTGTTCTTAGTAACTTTTATAAAGCACTTAATATGCATAAAATAAATGAGTGAACTTCTAGTACTATCTGCACTTAACATTTATCTTAAGTATTTTATGTAGGTTGTTTTTGAGAATTCTATTTATGGAATTGGGTATTACAAACATCTATAATTTGTTTCGTAGTTCACCAAGGGGGATGGTAAGGGATACTTCATATGTAGAGAATTTTGAAATAGTAATACAATGAACTAAAACTCAGTCTCTGTTTTATTACCATGCATTAGCAATTCTAAATAATTTCAGGGCAAATTCTTATCAGTACTTTGTTCACTTTTACCTCCCTGCCTTTGATACACCAGGAAGCTATTAGAACATAAATTTTATAGATGGGGAAATAGTCTGAAACATGCCTATCAGTAACATAGTAGTAGTGGTTGATTAATTATTGCTTTGGTGTGATACTGCCATCTCTAAAGGAAGAAAAAAAAGTAAGCCTTTTATGTACAAACCCCTAGTGATTTATAGTCAGTAATCTCTAGAGTAAGTTAGTTATTGATATTTATATTTTACAACTTATAACCTATACCTACTGGGTCTGTTGGTAATTGCCACAAAAATGCTGCATCCCTAAACTTTTACAAACCTAAGGCTTTATTTCTTGCTCATATATGAGATTAGAGTTCATCTGATAAATGCTGAGCCAGACTGGGCTTGGTTCTAAGCTGTTTCTTAGGTCCAGATCTGGTTCATTTGTTACTCATCTTCCTTGGACTAATAGCTGTCTCAGACATTTTCTTCTCTTGACAAAAGGCAGGAGTACAAGAGGGTAAGACCTCTTTGCTCTTGACATGTTTTCCTACCTTCTGTTACTAAAATAAGTCACATAGCCAAGCTCAAAGCCATGGAGCAGTGATGTGCACTTTACCTATGGTGAGTCCATGGCAAGGGTGTGGGTATATATAACATTACTAGAGATGAGTGAGGAGTTGAGAATAGTAATTATAACCTATCACATATATCAAAATTTACATTGCTTAAAAATAAGATATACCTTCCTGGATGCTTTGCTAAGTTAGATTTATGTAATGGCCAAGAAGTACTTAATTTTTTTTTCTAGGCTTAAATTTTTTAAATTATACTCCCTGGCATGGAATTTCTGGTTGTTTATCCCTGTGTTGAGAATACACCCAAATTGCTTTGCAAGGAAAATTGTGATTGTTGATAAGCACTCCCTCACGTTGCAACTAGAGTGACTATTTCAGACTTAGATTTTTACTAAGTTCAGTTTTCATTAAATGAAATGAATCCTACCTTAGCTCAACAGATCATGGTTCAGCATTTAATTTACAGCTGAAAATATATTTACTGCAGGTACTTGGCAGGAGGAGTAATCTTGCTTCCACTTAATCTCAACATCTTACAGAATGCTCATTAATAGAAAATGGTTTTCAAGTACTGTATGAAAGACCTACAATCACAATGACTGCTCTAGTCCATGAGTTTTTAGCCTTGTATTACATATACCAAGGCATTGGTGGTTTGGCTTTACAAGGTACTTATAAATTACTGGACTTATAAATTACTGGGTGTTAACTCAGAAATTCTGAGAATTTAATATTTGGGGAAATTGGTCAAATTTGGATCAGATTTTCAAAGTGGTATTTTACTCAAAACATTTTAAGAACCACTTCTAAATTACTCTAAAATCCAATCCTGAATTAATTTATGTTGTCAGAGTATGGAGAAATTGGATCATAGATTATTTGCTCTACTTATGATTATTTTTACAAAATTATATTTTAGTATAAGCCGTTCTATAGTACAAGTAAACAAACTACAGCTACATCTAGCAGCCTGGACAAATAAAACAAGGAATATTTTGAGTGATACAAGCAAGTTACAGAATACGTACAGTATAATTTCTTTATATGTAGAAATCTACAGTATTTCTTTTCAAAAGTACAGTAGCATTTAATACAATCATTGTGAGATCCATTCAGACATAATAAAGTTAAAAAGAAGAATGATAAAAGTACATTTTATACTAGTGGTTCCTTGTGGTAGGAGGAGGAGTAGGGTATGATCACAGAGGGATGCACAGCATTTTCAAATAATGTTCTCTTGAGTTTGGTAGTGTGCACATGGGTGTTATTATTTTACCTTGAAATATGACATGTATTCCATATGCATATTTAATGAAAATTAAACTTTAAAAAGAAAAAATAGATTGGGTAAAGAGAATGAAATATAACAAGGACAATACACTGTTGAATGTATACTAAATGAAGGATTCCAGCTTAATAAACAACATACTTCAAGAAGAGATTAGGCAGGGGTAGCTATACATATATCAGACAGAATAGACTCTAAGTCAAAAACTATAAAGAGACAAAGTCATTATGTGATAAAAAGGAGTCAATTCATCAAGAAGTTATAACAATTGTAAATATGTATACCCAACGTAAAGCACCTAGATATATAAAGCAAATATTAATAGATCTGAAGGGAGAGATAGACTGTATTACAATAATAGTAGACTTTGATACCCCACTTTCAACATTAGATTAAACAGAAAATGAGTAAGGAAGCACTGGACTTGAACTATGCTTTAAACCAAATGGACTTAACACATATTTATAGAGCAATTCAACAGCAACAAAATACACATTCTTCTCAAATGTACACAGAACATAGGTCATATATTAGGCCACAAAACAAATCTTAACAAATGTAAGAAGGTTGAAATTATATTGAGTATCTTTCTGACCACATTGGCATAAAATGAGAAATCAATAACAGGAGGAATCTTGGAAAACTTGAAAATATATGAACATTAAACAAAATACTCTTGAACAACCAGTGGGTCAAAGAATAAATTAAAAGGGAAGTTTTAAAATGTCTTGAGATAATATAAATGAACATGAAAACTCAGCATATCGAAGCTTACAGAATGCAGCAAAAGCAGTCCTGAGAGGGAAGTTTATAGCAATAAATGCCTACATCACAAAAGAAGAGAGATTTAAATAACTTACTGTCACACCTCAAGGAACTAGGAAACAAATGAAGAACAAACTAAGCCCAAACTCAGCAGAAGGAAAGAAATAATAAAGGTCAGAGCAAAAGTAAACAAGACAGAAAAGATGAATGAAACTTAAAGGTGTTTTTTTTTTTGGAAAGTTAAAATCAACAAACTTTTAGCTAAACAAAGGAAGAGAAGTGACTCAAAATCAGAAATGAAAGAGAAAACAACTAGTACTACAGAAATACAAACAATCATAAGAGACTACTAGGAACAGCTATACACCAACAAACTGGGTAACATAGAAGGAATGGATGAATTCCTGGCAATGTGCAAGTCACCGTACTGAATCAGGAAGAAATAGAAAAGCTGAAGAGACCAATAATGGGAAAGGAAATTAAATCAATAATAAAAAATGTCCCGTCGGAGAAAAGCCCAAGACTCAATGACTTTACTGCTGAATTCTGCCAAACATTTAAAGAACCATACCAATCATTCTCAAACTGTTCTAAAAAATTGGAGAGAGAATACTTCCAAACTCATTTTCCAAGGCCAGCATTGCCCTGATACCAAAGCCAGTTAAGGACACTACAAGAAAACTACAGGCCTATATGCAAAAGTTCTCAACAAATTACTAGCAAATTGAAGGCAACAGCATATTAAAAAGATCATTTACCGTGATCAAATGGGATTTATCCCAAGGAAGCAAAGGTTGTTCAACATACATAAGCCAATAATTGTGATATATTGGCATAAAGGAGAAAAACAACATGATCGTCTCAATAGATGCAGAAAAATATTGTACAAAATTTAACATCTGTTCATGATAAAAACTCAAAAAAAAAATAAGTATAGGAGGAACATAAGAAAGCTATATATGGCAGGTTCACAGCTAACATCCTCAATGGTGAAAGTTAAAAGGTTTTCCTCTAAGATCAGGAACAAAGATGTTCACTCTTGCCACTTCTATTCAGCATAGTACTGGAAGTCCTAGATAGAGTAATTAGGCAAGAAAAAGAAATACAAGGCATCCATATGGAAAAAGAAAAGTGAAATTGTCTCTATTTGCTGATGACATGATCTTATATATAAAAAATGCTTATGACTCTACCAAAAGGCTATTAGAGCTGATAAATTCGGTAAAGATTCCAAAATCAATGTACAAAAATTG